GAGGGAAGGAAGGAACCCCAATCCCCAGGCTCCACTTCCAGAGCAGGAAAGGGCGGCATCTCTGTTTTTAACAAGAACCCGCCCCCTTTCCTGACACAGGGGCTTCCTGCTGCACTTTGAGGGCCCCTGAAGCAAACAGGTGTGGAGTTGGTAACAAGGGGGGGTACATTTCCTGGGCTGCCACTGTGCGTCTGTGAAATGGGACATAATGCAACCTCGAGGTGTGGCAGGAGAAGTGTGCGTGTTTACCAGGCAATGGAGTAAAAGGGCGCAGTATGGGGGAAACCCCTACTCTTTTAGTACCTAGGCCTACCCCCAGCACAGGGGTTCTCCTGGGCCACCTGCCTTATCACCCCAATAAAATGAGTCTCCTGTACACAGAGCCTACCCATCTCCCCAACCCCCTTCTCTCATCCCCTTAGCACCAACACTCCACTCCTGCCTGTGGAGGCACTGTGAAAACCCAGGCCTTGGAGCACCGGCCCAGCCCCCGGGGGGGCCACAGATCATCTGTGGAGCCCAGAGTGGCCCTGAAGCTGCAGCAGGAACAATGGTCCATTGTGGGGGCCTCATTCTCTATTGTCTCCCCAGCTGACCCACAGGGTACCCTCTAAAAATAGGCCAGGCCAGGCAGTGTCCCCACCAGCCTGGGACTTCAAGGTTTAAATCCAAGTTCCACCCCTCTGCGCTCCCGGGCCTGCACCTGTCAGACGAGAGTGAGGGCCTCACCCCCAGAGCCGAAGAGGTGGGCCTGGGCCTGTGCAGAGGGTAACTCAGTCATGGTGGCCTGGGCCCCGCCTTGGTGCAGGTACAGGACACCCAGCCCTGGCTGGCATCAAGGATGTCCCTGGCAGTCCCCCAGGGGTGGGGATGAGTAACGGATGTTGACTCATCGCTTTGGAGGTCTTAAAGTTATACAGCTGTGGAACTAGAAGTAAATCTGTCCAAGAAGACAGGGGCTGCCTGTCTGTTTACTGTTACAGCCTCCGGCCCTGGCACAGCTGCCTGCTCCCAGCAGGTGTGCAGGATCCGTTGGGTGAAGAGAGGGTAAGTAACCTTCCCAAGGTCACCCAGCTAGAACGGTGCAGAGGGATCTGAACCTGAGACCACCCAAGTCCAAAGCCTGTGCCCTTTGACGTCTGTTTTACACAGTGTGCCCGGTGTCACGTGAAGAAAGGAAACCTTTACTGTGTAACGTGCACTGTGACTCTCCAGGGAGGGATGTAGTAAGTCAGGTCCCCCACCAATGTGGCTGTGGATGGCTTTTTATCTCCCCAGGGTCTCCATGAAGCAGAAATCCTCGGGGCACGTCCTGGGGTACACGGGCACACAGAACAGAGGACTAACATCTGCTCTTCCCCAAATGTGCATCTGGCCCACACTGCAGAAATGTGCCACAGGTATGTCAGACGCAGGGCACATGGGCCCTCTTCTCTGCCTGTAGCATCTCCACAAGAACAAATGCCGGTTTTACAGCCACCTCCCCAACCTGCCTGCCAATTCCTGGAGGGCAAGGCTGGCTCTGCTGTCTCAGGTGCTGGCCCAGAGGAGGCACCTAGACATTCACACAGTCTACACTGCCATAAACTGGTAAGTGGTAAAACGGCAGCCACCCCTAGTCTACACTGCTTGCCAGCTGGCAGACAGTGGGAGCAGCACCTGCCGCCTCTTTGGGCTGCCAATCTTGGCTTGGGAGCTTTATGAATAACTGCAGACGATGCTGGTTGGCCTCCCAAACATGTCTTGTTCCTTCTTATGACAGGACGCCCAGCTGGCAAGGTGCTGATCAATTCTCCCCTTCCCCATCTGCCTCCTAGCCAAAGGTGGTCAGAAGACCCAGTTCTGGCCAATGAGATGTCAGCAGAACTTGCTGGCACTTTGAGAAGAATTTTTTAAAGGGTCAAACTTGGCCTTTTGATTTTTTGCTTTCACTCCCCCACCTGCTTACTACCTGGAATGTGGATGAGATGTTAGGGATTCAGCAGCCATCTCATGAGCATGAGTATAAAAACTACATGCTCAGGATGACAGAGCAGGAGCAGGAAGGAGTCTGGGACTGCGTGACATTCACACCTGCTGTACCAGGCCTTCTAGGTCAGCAAAAATAGCAAACATTCCTTGTTTAGGACACTGTTGAGTGATATGAATCTTAATGACACATCCACCATGCCTCCTTGGCCAAGTCATCGGACTTTTCTGAGAACTCCCTCAGCTCTAAAATGGAGTAAACAACAAGCCTATCAAGTCACGGAGATGCTCCCAAGACTAAAACCGTGGTAGAGCCTGGGAAGTATTTTGCAAAATGTAGGTTTCCATGTCCATTGTTGTGGACCCCTGTCCCAGAGATGGGTACTCTGCAGCCACAGGGCCACCCCAATGGCTTAAGTCAACTGGCTGAATGATCCAGGGGAGCCCTGAGACCAGCTGCTGCCTCCTCCCTCCATCATCAGGCCCCAGGGAGACACCGAAGGCCTTGGACTGTGAGAAGATGACAGGCTTACACACACCCTACGTCAGCTGCTGCGCTGGGCTGCCCCTCTCCTCAGTCTAGCCCTGGTCAAGGCATTTCCCAGGGGCAGAGCGGGCCCAGTGGAACAAGGCACAGAGCTGATTTGGCTAGTCAGACACAGCATTAAGTCAAGGCCTCTTGAGGAAAGAGAAATCATGAGAACAGAGTCTCAAGACCACCCTCTTGTTGAGAAATAACACACAGCGCCCCCCACCTTCCTGCTTCCCCCACAGTGGGGGGGGGAGGCCTGGTTGTGCCATTGATCTTCTTTCCATTGGGTAAGGAGTACACAAAGAATGAAGGGTGACCAGGGGGTATGTGTGTGGCAGGAACACAGTAGTATCTGCGTATAAGGACAGCCACCCCCTCACTGAGCAAATACTATAAAGCTAGGATAGCCGTTTCACAGAGAAGAAATGCCAGCCCAGGGGGCTGAAGCCTAGCCGCCAAGGGCACACAACTGCAGGGGCTAAAGCCTAAGGGCCAAGGGCACACGCCTGCAGGGGGCTAAAGCCTAGCAGCCAAGGGAATACACCTGCAGGGAGAGTAAAAGTTCCAGATAGGTCCTTGGGCCTCCGAGCCCTGAGCCCAGGGGCTGCAGCAGGCCCCCAGGACACTGGGAAGATAAGACGCTGGACCTGTGGCTTCTCCCTCCGTTTCTCAGGTTTCTCTACTGTTGTGATCACATCAAGAAAAAGGAAAGAAGTTAGAGTCGGGAAATGAGCTGCTGCGGGCAGAAAGCCATTAGCTGGGAATATAGAGGGAAGCTAGACCCACCCTGCCGACTGGAATTCTCCAAGGAAGAAGGAATTAGGAGCAAAGTCTTTCTTCTGTTAGGGAGAAGAGAGAGTGGAGGACCAGTGTCACCCCAATAAATTCAATAAAAAGGAGAAAAAGAAAGAGTGGAGGGATGGGCATCCACAGAGCAGAGGAGGGGGCAGAAGGAGGCCTGCATGCTGAGTCTGAGGCTGTTTATTTCATGTGCGCGACACCTCGGGGACAGTGATGCTCCCTCAGTTTTATGAATTACAAAGCTAAGCCCCTGGGAGTCCGGGCCACTGGCCAGGCCCCTGGCCAAGGGCACATGGCTGGCAACAACAGAGCTGACCTGACCCTGCTTCTGTCCCCTGCACCTGCCCCCAGGGGATGGGCGTCTACACTAGGTCAGCCCGGTGGCCTGGACTGGACAGACCTGGGGAGGAGCCCACCACGGGGATGCTGGGGGGGGCGCTCTTCCCCCACTCCACCAGGAGGGCTTTCCT